GGGGGGGGGGGGGGGGGGGGGGGGGGGGGGGGGGGGGGGGGCTCTCCTGCGCGAGGCTTGTCATGCCGACCTCGACATAGTCTCAGCACGGGGCGGAGCAACCGCAGAAGGGAGGCGTGGCCCACAGCGGAACGGCGGGTGGAGGATCATGCCGGAGTTCTCGACAGTGTTGCCAAATAGCCCAGTCTGTGAGATGGGAACATCAAGAAAGTGCGCTTTGTCGACGTCACTCATCTCAGCAAGGCTGAACCATAGATGGCACTCTTGGACCACTAACGTGGACATCGCCTTCCCAAGGGACTGTGCCGTGACTTTCGTCACCCGGGGGTTCGGAACTCGGGTCGGTACTACTCTCGTGCATTCGTTTTAGTGCCTTGGCTTGGTGTACTTGCAGGATAGCCATGGCATGCAGGGCAGAGGCAGCTTGGCCCGCAGGACTGTAAGCTTTGGTTGTCCGATTCAGTGGTGGCAACAACACCCAAGGGGGGGCAGCCCCGCCGAATCTTCATCCTCAAGAGGACGACAGTCCATCCGTCCACAATCAGAAACTGTTCTTTTAGATGAAGTACCCAGGGGAATCTGAATTAACAGGGACGCCGCTGATTGTGCCGTAACACCACCCAGAACAACCTCTTCTTCCAGCAGCAGAGAGAATTCGCCTGGTGAATCTCGAACGGTGTTCATTCACTCGGCTCCGAAGCAAAATCTGATGATGTCTGATTATGATACCCATGTGCACGGGGAGTGGCTCAGCATGCAAAATCCACTAGCCAAATTTCATTGGTGTTTTCTCTTAATCAGAGAGGATTCAGGCTCCCAAGTAAAACCCCTAATGTCGAGTCACGACATAGCTCGACGTGACCAACATATAGGGAACCATTTGTACTGGATGAGGAGATGAGCTGAGATCCAACACCCTCCCAGTCAATGACTCAAAACGTTAACCCTCAAAGCAAAGGGTTAGGGTAAGGTGCACCAAGTATTTTTTTTGCAAATTGCAAATTTTAACATTTAAAAAATAAAGAAAAATTACTTTTTACAAATGTTCAAAAATGCACACCCTAGAACAGGGTTCCTCAAATCTTACCCTGGAGGTCCAATGCGCTGCAGAGTTTAGCTCCAACCCTGATCAAACTCAGCTACCTGTGATTTTCTAATGATCCTGAAGACATTGATTAGCATGCTCAGGTGTGTTTGATTAGGGTTAGAGCTAAACTCTGCAGGCAAGTGGATCTCGTGGGCCAGATTTGAGGATCCCTGCCCTAGAAAAACTAAAAAAATCCACAAGACTTTTATGAAGTATCTAAATTTTAAAATTGAAAAAGTTTAACATTCTCGTCATTTTGCAAATGCGTGTTATTCACATCAACATACATTTCATAATTTAATCAAATGGACTAAAATTACTGAATATAACATGATGAAACATTAACAAAAATGTAAAAGGTGTTTTCTTCAAAATACAAAAACTATGACTAGAACAAAAAGTGTGTAAAAATCACACTGATTGTCAAATAGACCTACATTATGGCACTAGTTTCCAAAAACCTTCCAGGCCAACAGGTGTCAGTATGAAGTCCAAAACCACTGTCAAAGTACCTAGTGCACCTTTTATGAAAAACTATTCTGGTACCAACAACACTAAAGCAGGCAATTCATTCTAATGCAGTAATGCACAATATCTGTAACATGGGCAAGCAGGGACAAACCGCACAGAGAGGCTAAAGGGTAAAGGTGTGCACTGAAATAACAAACAGCGCTAGAACATTCACACCCCCCAAACCCTTTGGTGCGATTGGGTAAAACGATACATGCTGCAAAGCCCTGAGTTCTCTTGCCAACTCACCAATGGCACAGCAGGAGCAAGCAACGAGCCAGATCAGTGCGCAGGGAGAGATTTATCAGAAACAAAGCACAGAGAGAGATGATATAAGAATGGGACAGATGATAAAGTCGAAAAAAAGCAGTATTACAGTAAGAGAGCAAGAATGGACAGAACACGAAATGAAATGAAAAAGGAGAAAAAGCACAGGGAGAATGCATTTTAGAAGCGCTGTCACATCTTCTCTGTATAATTTAAGAAGGTCAGCAGATACAGAAGTGCTCATGCAAGGCAAAAGTGTGCTGAGAAGCAAGCAAGCCTGAAAGATGCCTCACTGCATTCAAGAGAAACTAAAAAAAATACAGTTTTGTCAAATACATAAGTATTCATGTTTATTAAGAGTATAATTATCTGTTCAAAACACCTAGTTTGATATCTCACCTGATGCATCAAAGCCACCAGAGGGCGCTGCGGTAGCAGGGGCGCTGTCTGCCGCCACTGGTGTGGTGGATACCGGCACAGAGCCAAAGGCATCAAAAGCTGACTCCAGCAGTTCAGCTGGGGCCGAGGATGGCACTGGTGCTGGGGTTGGTGTAACTGTGAGGGCGACCGGTGAAATCAACCCTGCAGACATCAACAGATAAGGTGCCAAATCCACCACAAATCCATAGCACACTTTCAGATTCTTAACAGTTCTCAAATATCTAAACATTTTATTATGGTCCAGCATAAGAGCAATTCCAAAACATGGTGTTTCTGAACTAAATTACTGTTTAAATGTACATAAACATTTTTTTTTAACGTATTCTCGCTAAGGCTATCAATTCATAGCTTTCAGTCGTGTGACCGGCTCGAAGACCTGGAGGGCAAAACATCCATAGAACTGCAGCACAAGCCTGTCAATTTTCCATCTGTTTCCCAGCCGTAAATATTTAGATCACCTCAAAAGAATAAAACAAAGGTATGTATGAACAAAATGCAAGTTTTAGCATTAAGCACCCATGGCAATATTTCTATCCTTAAACAGTGTGACAAAACATTTTAAAAACACTTAAAGTGCCTTAATACATTTAAAACAGTCATATTAATGATGCATAATTTACATAGGCAAGCAGATGAGGCCAGAATATGAATGCAATCCGCTTAATGGTTCAGTGTTTTCCTTATAATGGTTTTCTATGGGAAACCATTTAATGTGAAACTTTGCATATTGTGTTTATATTCTGGGTTCATCTGCTTGCCTGTACAAAATATACATCATCAATAAGGTGTTTACTGAATTTCGCCTTTTAATATCTGCGTTTTACTACATTACTACTTAATGCAATCTGTGTTAAAATAACTGTCAGTCAGTGGAGCAAAGCTTAGTTTTGCCCTCCAGGTGGGTGTTCCTAAAAGGGTGTGACGTCACGTGAAAACTATCAACAGGTTAAAATTGAAGCAGTGGGGTCCAAATTACTTTTTTGGTATTATTTTTGTATTATTTATATATTATAGTTTTTATTAATATTTTAAGTTAGTTTTTTTATTTTTAATGTTATTTTATGCTTTAGTAATTTTGTTATTTGCTTTTTTTCAAGTTTATCATTTTAAAAGTATTCCAATCATGACAACTCTCTGAAGATTTTAGCATGGTGATGGAAATGACAATGTTTATGTATTTTGTCTTGGCGGAATATATCTGCTAAGCTGCTGCTGAATTGCTGCTGCTGTTGGTTATTGCTGTAGTTGTAGATTAATGCTGATGCTTCAAGCAAGTACAGGAACTTGCTACTGCCAATGCATATGGCGATATGGTGCCGTGAGTATTTAAGACATACTGCTGCTGCACAAACAGCATATAAAATAACCCGTAGCAGATCTATACTGGTGGAGCTGGTGAAGGTGGAGGGTTTCAGAGAAACTCTTAAAGAGTGCAGCAGAATCTCAAGTGAATGCTAGCCAGCCATATAAATGCAAGACCGTAAGCTCATTGGCTGCATATGCAGCATGAAGCAATCAGCTTGTGCCAAGTCGTTTAACTCTCTGAATATCATCAGTTACGTTAACAACCCGTCAGCCTGCTCCATCTAGAGTTTCATGACTGAACTATACATTTCTATATAGCTTTAATTTGATTTTTAGTAGTACTTCAACTTCAAACTTATTTATTTTAAAAAGTTTTTCATCTAATATTTTATTTATTTATTTTCTAATATTTTATCTTTATTTCAATTACTGAAAATTATTATTATTATTAATTATGTTTAGTTAACAATCACTTTTCTAATTTAATACAAATTTCCATTACAAAGCAGCACAACAATTTGGGTTAAAACTTTAACTGAAAATGAGCATTCATTTCAATATGTTTCCTATTATTGGTATATATTTATCTCCTAGTTTTAGTTTCTAGAATAATATATATTTATATAAATATTACTATTGTTGCAGGGTTATTACACTTTTTCAAATAAAAATTCAAGATTCACTTTCAAGGTGCATTTTCCAGCTTTTCCAGCTAGGGCTGTCGCGATAACCGCAATATTGTAATACCGCGCTACTGACGAGCCAACCGCAGAGGAAGGAAAGCAACCGCAGAAACCACGGCAACTGCAGTGTTCACAGGTTTTTTTTTTTCATGAGGCTGTGGCCTTCTTGTTTTACAATTCATCACTGTGCACTGAATATTAATTAAATTAATAATGATACGAGTGTTACGAGTGTCATTTTCCCGCAAACTGTTTGTATCCTGGGTTTCGTTTACGGATCTGCTGTCTGGTGAGAGCTACGTTACAGTGTCTTCAGTCAAACCCACCCTGAAACTCCTGACAGAAGATATGCTTAAACCATCAAATGAGGATACCACATTAACATCGGACATAAAGCACAAAATGTGCATTGTTCTACAGGGGAAATATGAACCAGCTGCCTTACAAAAACTTTTGGAAAAGGCCTGTTTTTTAAGACCCTCGATATAGGGGCAATTATATCAATGACACGGAGACAAAATTCAACATCATCGAAGAGATGGTGGGAGAGGAGGACGAAGGGAGCGCTGCCAGTGCGTTAGTGGTTGGAGATGAAGGGCAAGTGGTGGTGCCACCTGCAGCAAAGAAAAAGACTCTTGGAGACCTGCTGAAGTCACGGACGACCTCTGCATCAGCGCCCATACCCAAGAGAGCACGAGCAGACAACGAGCTCACGCGCTACCTGCAGGAGGAGTGCATAGACTCCCAACGCGAATCCACTGTCCTGATGGTGCGATAATCGGTCTAGATTTCCGCTGCTGTCCAAAGTCGCGTGCAAATACATGTGTATTTGTGCAACGAGCACACCGTCGGAAAGTGTTTTCAGTGCCGCCGGGAATATTGTTACCCCCATGCGATCCTCCCTGAAACCACATACGGTTAATATGTTGGTTTTCCTAGCGCAAAACAAGGACATGATAACCCAGGTCTAAATCACATTCGTTAACGATTAAATAATATTTAGTTTATTCTCTGCATTTTCACTTAGGCCAACACTTTGTTTTCATGTGATACTTTAGAATTCTTTCGTTTTTCAAATTGGAATAAGGATTTTCTTATTGCTTGTTTTCATTTGATACTTCAGAATTGTTTTTATTTCTTTTGTTTTTTAAATTAGAAAAGGGATGTTCTTATTGCTGTTTGGCATTTAACAATAAACAAAAATGTTTTAAAACATGTCTCTCTGTCAGTTAAAAAGCAACAATATATGCTACATAATAACTCAACAATAGAGCTTTGTATGCAGTAAAATCAGGATAAATAAGGTTTGTAAAAAATAAAATAAATAAAAATACCGCGATCAAACCGCATATCGCACTATTGAGCCACCCATAATAACCAAATAATAAATATATATATATTTTAAAATAAAGGAACGAGTATAAAGAATTTTCATTTTCAATAAGTCTGTCTGCTGTTTTTGTTCAGAACAAAAAGCTAATGTGCCTTCATAAATTTAAAACATTTAGAGAGTAAGATGTGTGTGCTTTAAATTAAAATAATTCTTTACACTTTTGACACATCCCTTTTCTTTTTTTCTTAAAAATAGTTTAAAGGTTAAAATATGAGGTTCTGTCTGCCACTGGGTGGCACTTTTGGAACTGCATGAATACAGCGGTTTGCCCGGTAATGGATGTACAAAAAGCAGCGCTGGCTCACAAACGCTACTTTATCAGTCATTATACTGTATGTCGGTGAGATGAAATGATAATGCCATTGAAACCTCTCTCAAAGCAGTCGGTTCACTTCAGAGATGCATTAATATAAAAACACCCGCGCTGCGCTTTGACATGTTTATTTTATTATTTCACTTTATTCGCGACAGTCTTTAACATAGCTTAACTGACCATGGGCATTTTTGATTACCTTTTATACGGCTTGAAAGCGCAGACTCTCCCATAAAAAGCAGACTTTACATTATTCTAACCATAATTTGTGTTTGTCTTTTTTTTTTAAACCAACGCTGACTGAAGCAGCAACCTCCCGACATGTGTTTATCTCCCGCTCTGCTCCATCAGAGGCTGCGTTTACACTTGGCATTAACATGCGACCTGTATCCGGATGTTGTCCACATACACATTGAAAAGACAAGTGTAAACGTGCTTCCGTGATGTCGACCTGCGATGTGTGTATGTGGACAACATCCGGATACAAGTGTAAACGCAGCCCTCGACTACCTCTGGAGCAGGACACGCTGATCGGATAACATTCCGATCAGAAGCGCGTTTACACTTGTCTTTTCAATGTGTATGTGGACAACATCCGGATACAAGTGTAAACGCAGCCCTCGACTACCTCTGGAGCAGGACACGCTGATCGGATAACATTCCGATCAGAAGCGCGTTTACACTTGTCTTTTCAATGTGTATGTGGACAACATCCGGATACAAGTGTAAACGCAGCCCTCGACTACCTCTGGAGCAGGACACGCTGATCGGATAACATTCCGATCAGAAGCGCGTTTACACTTGTCTTTTCAATATGTATTTGGACAGCATTCGGATACAGGTCGCATGTTAATGCCAAGTTTAAATGCAGCCTAAACGCAATACAGCCATCGTGTCTGCATTCGCAGGTCGACATCACGCAAAACGCCGCCCCCTCTCCCCCGATCTGTCGGAAGATCAGTGCTAGTGAGACTCGTACATTTATTTTGATTTGTAAACTGTCCCGCGACTGAAAATAGTTTTCAAAAGAAAACCCACCACTTCAGATTGACTTTGCACCGCAGACTTATTTAAATATTGCGCGGGAAATACAGATCCGATCAGTTATCCAGATCGAGAAGTCAGCTGATGTTGCCAAGTGTAAACGTGCCGTGTCCTGATTGACTGATGATCCGATCTGCTTGATCAGATCACAGTGATCGCATGTTAATGCAAAGTGTAAACGCAGCCAGAGAGCGCCCGTCAATAAAGACAGACAGATCACACTAGCCAGTCACACACGTGAGTCAACTTTTTTCCAGTCTATGGTCGACGGTTTTCATTTTATGCAAAAAGCATATTTCAAGCAGTTTCAAGCACTTTATCCAAAATTCAAACCTTGAAAACTACGTTAAAATTCAAGCATTTTCAAGGATTTCAAGCACCCGTACAAACCCTGTTGTTGTTATTAGTATTATTTGGGTCAAATTATTGAACTACAATAACAACAACAACAATAATAATAATAACAACAAATGTTATAATAATAATAATTATTATTATTATTGTCATTATTAGGTGCAATTATACATTTTACAACAAAACATCAATAATTATAAGTAATTAGCTATTATTACTTTTTTTATTATTGTTATGGTAATTCACTTAATTATTCATTACTATTGTTCATTTGTTTATTAGGCATTAACTGTATTATATACATATATTGAACAGCTCTTCGTTAGTGCCACGTCTAACGTCTCTATTGTCCCGCGACTGAAAATAGTTTTCAAAAGAAAACCCACCACTTCAGATTGACTTTGCACCGCAGACTTATTTAAATATTGCGCGGGAAATACAGATCCGATCAGTTATCCAGATCGAGAAGTCAGCTGATGTTGCCAAGTGTAAACGTGCCGTGTCCTGATTGACTGATGATCCGATCTGCTTGATCAGATCACAGTGATCGCATGTTAATGCAAAGTGTAAACGCAGCCAGAGAGCGCCCGTCAATAAAGACAGACAGATCACACTAGCCAGTCACACACGTGAGTCAACTTTTTTCCAGTCTATGGTCGACGGTTTTCATTTTATGCAAAAAGCATATTTCAAGCAGTTTCAAGCACTTTATCCAAAATTCAAACCTTGAAAACTACATTAAAATTCAAGCATTTTCAAGGATTTCAAGCACCCGTACAAACCCTGTTGTTGTTATTAGTATTATTTGGGTCAAATTATTGAACTACAATAACAACAACAACAATAATAATAATAACAACAAATGTTATAATAATAATAATTATTATTATTATTATTGTCATTATTAGGTGCAATTATACATTTTACAACAAAACATCAATAATTATAAGTAATTAGCTATTATTACTTTTTTTATTATTGTTATGGTAATTCACTTAATTATTCATTACTATTGTTCATTTGTTTATTAGGCATTAACTGTATTATATACATATATTGAACAGCTCTTCGTTAGTGCCACGTCTAACGTCTCTATTTCATCATTAACAAAAAAAGAGCGTTTTCCTAATCAGGATATGTGACCTATACCTCCAAGAAGGTCACCTGATGGTGCTTCGGGAGCAGCGGACTGGGTCTCCCCAGTAGTGTCACCAAATGTGTCTTGTTCCAGAGACAGACATCCCACAGTGCAGCATGAAGGAGGAGAAGCATTAGTCAGCCTTAAAGCTGCATACACACTGAGAGAGGGGCAGATGGAGAGAGTGAGCTGAGATCATACAACAGGCAACATACTCCCACATCGCAACAAACACTGACACATGGATATGCGATCTTTGTGTCTTCCCACACTTAATGTACACATGACAGCACAGCAAGCATATACACTAAACTCAAACACACATCAAACAAATCTCTCTCTTCCCAAATTCATCATCATCTGCTCACTTAACAGACAAAACAAACTGCAGAAACTAGCCACAATAATTGAAAAACTGGGCTTTGAAACAGCTGGTGTATACTTACCACTTCATAAATTGAAATGTCTACGCTAACAAAATGAACTTTAACAAGTTCAGCACAAATGAACAAGCTCAAACATTGTGCAGTCAGAAGCAAAAACCTGATCATAATTCACTGGGTTACACCACAGTGAAAACCCTGGAATGTGACATACATTATCTCTATATTGATCTTTAGAATTGGTGTTTTGTATGAGCGAGTTTAGACACACCAAGGAGGTCCAGCACAGGTCTAGGTTCGGCTTTAGGAGGAGAGACAGGAGCAGCTGGAGCAGCAGGTGTAGGAGCCACTGGAGCAACAAATGAATCTAAATGGACGAGAGCAAATGGGGTGATTTTGACATCTCTAAATAAAATATAGCTAATACTAGCAGTTTGGGATGTAACTGTAATGCAAGTAAAAGTGCATTGGAGGAACAAACAAAAATACAATACTAAACCAAATAAAGCAATCGTTCACTCAAACATAAATGACTATCTGTCTTCTGCATGAATGGCAAATGGAAGCGAAAACACCATAAAACTATCATAAAAGTGACTCATATACTGTAACTCATTAACTATATTTTCAAGTCTTAAGTGATTTAATAGCTTTGTGTGAAAAACAGACTGAAATTTAAGTTTTTAATCTTCCTTTTACCCGCTGTGATCAAATCATTTACTCAGCAAGCTGAATTTGATCAAATTACTCACTGAAAAGACTCAAAAGAAAAAAATTACTCATTTACTAAGTGAACAAAGTTTCAGAAAATTAATGCTTAAAAAATGCTGTCAAAAATCATGGAAAATAGTCTCCAAAATGTTTCCTTTTGTGTTATACAGAAGAAATTGAGTAATACGGTTTTAAACAACATGAGGGTAAATGCCAAAATATTCAAACTATTCCTTAAAGCATCATAATAATAGTAATAATTCATAGAATATACTGAGCCATATATAAATATTTATATACTGTATATATAATATTAATATATAAATATTTAATGATATTATTCAATTCTTTAATTTCAAATTTTGTAATTTAACACAAATATTCATTACAAATTAAATTATTAGCATAACAATCTAGCTTAAAAGTTGACCTGAAAAATGAATAAATATTAATAGAAAAATGATCAGTATTATTATTGAATAATATGATATATTTAGTATTAATAATAATAATTTGATTAATTATTAATTAACATTATTTATTTATTCATTATTAATGATAATATAATAATTCATGGTAAAAGACAAAACATGCTCCATTTAGAGAGACAAGCAAACTCACCAGACAAGAGGTCACCAGTCACACTGGCCTCAGGCAAAGGTGAGGGCCCGCGTGAGACAGCGGGAAGATCTTTCACACCAAAGCAAAGCAAAAAGAGGAAGTGGAGGAGGAAACGTAAGAGAAGAGAAATCAATAAGGAGCAGAAGCATAGAAAGGACACAAAGTTGTGCTTTTGAGGGTGCAAACATGCACAAGTCCACGTTCCACTATGAGGACAAACCAAGACGGAGTGGGCCAAAAAACAGATGAGAAAGAAGAAAGATGAGACTAGAAAAGACAAGACGTTCAACAGAACTATGGGAATCAACTCCTGTACCTGCACCAAAAAGGTCTACACTAGGAGTGGTTGCTTTGGGCTCTGTGGAGGAGCTTTGCTCAGGCATAGAATCAAACATATCTATAAACAAGGACACACATATGCGTTATGCTTTTAGTCAGTGCATATTAAGACAGCTTCAAGTGAGAGAGAGGAAACACCATTTAGATTTTAAAACACCTTTTTTGCTTGCTTTTTTCCATAATCACACTGAACAAGTAGCACAAGAGACTACTCAGTCAAGTCTTCAAATGTCAATGCAAACCAAAGCATTCAGATTTGGTCAAAAACACCAGAAAATTATTGCAGGACAAATGTGGTCACTGCAAATCCTGGATTTTGACAGATTGCAGTGCAATTTTAGAGGCCAAATGTGAATCAGTGACATTGACCACCCCTCTTTATTTGCAAATATAGTATTATTTTACATTGTTATACAATAGCAATATTTACAATTATAGCTATTATTTTACAAATATTTTAAATATGTACAATACCGTTCAAAATTTTGGGTTTTATATATATATATATATAGTATAATATAAATGTATATAACAGCCTATTATGCTCAAGGCTGCATTTGTGAAATATTATTACAGTTTAAAATAACGATGTTCTATTTTTAAATATTTTAAAATGTAGTTTATTCCTGTGATGTCGAATCTTGATTTTTAGCAGCCATTACTTCAGTCTTCAGTGTCACATGATCCTTCAGAAATCATTGTAAAATGATTTTAGTGCTCAAGAAACATTTCTTATTATCAATGTTTGAGGAAATTGATTTGTGATTTTTTCAGGATACTTTGATTAGTAGAAAGAGACATTTATTTGAAATACACATTTTTTGCAACTTTATTGTCACTTTTGATCAAGTTAATGCTTTCATGCTGAATATTAATTTCTTTAAAAAAAAATTGAACGGAAGTGTACAATTATATTTATATTTACAATTACAGTAATTTGACAGTATTATTGTACAATTACAATATATATATATATATATAACGTCAAGAATATTCTTCAGCGCTGAAAAGGTGGTAAAGGCCATGATTCACAATCCAGAATGACCAAAACATAAAATATAAATCTAAATGAGAGGAATCAAACAAAAGAGAATCTTAATAATGTTGGGGAACTAGCTTAGCAAGTTAATATTGTCATAATGCAGCGTAAAGCAAGACAGAGGCAGAATTCCAGCAGAGACATTACCACTAAAGAGGTCTAGTGTTGGCGGGGCCGCAGACTCAGCTGTAGCGGATGTGGTTGTGGTAGTGGCGGCGATGGTAGTGGCAGTAGCGGTGGGAGGAGAAGGGGTAGCTGGGGCCACTGTTGGCGAGATGCTCGGCTCGGCACTGGTAGGAGACGCTGCGGTAGCGACACTCTCTACCGGCTTCATGGCAAAGAGGTCCAGCTCTGGGGCAATGCTTGCACTCCCCTCGGATGGAGCCCAGGGGTCTTTATTGGGAAGGGTTGGGGATGAAAATGGAATGGGGAAGGTTTGTTAAATAACAAAAACGGCAAACTAAAAAAGAAAAGCTCATAACTTCAGGAACACTGAAGTCACAGAGAGAGAGGATGGATTTTACCTTCAAAAGCACACTTTAAGACACGATTAACCTTAGTACTGCAATCCCCATTAAAAATATCCTAGAAAAAAACCCAATGTAGTTTTCATTCTGTTTTGTATAATCATACATACCTCAGGATGCTTGCTGTCTATAGAGAAACCATTAATAATAAAACAAGAAAATACAGTCTGGATTCCATAGGTTGCAGATTTTTAAGTCCTAGTAGCAATGTGGAAGCAGAGCTAAGTTAATGTTCCAGTAAAAGGACTTATAAAAGGTAAAAGTAAGCCTTTTCATGTTATATGGCACAGTAGTTGCATTATGTAAATACAACCACTAAGCTTCTGCTCTTCAGACTTCATAAAAATAAAAGCTAAGGTTGTTAGAATGAATCACTGATACTGAAAATAAACACCGGAAGGGAAATTATACAATTAATGTGAGCAGCTGAATTATTAGAAGGTTAACATAGCAGAAAGTAAAGGCAAAAATCATTTTCTTGAAAATATTTTGTCCTGTTTTCAAGTAAAGCATCTAAACATCCTTAAAACAAAATAAATTTACTTGAGAAGCAACTCATCTTCAGAAAATATATCTTGAAATAATTTATATATATATATATAGTGGCGAGTATCCCGAGTCCAGATTAGCGTCGCCCTGGAAACGCCTCGGCCACACTGATCACCGACGCACAACACCTGTGCGCGATGAGTGGCGCACCTGGAGCTCGTTCCCGCTTGCCTTAAAAGCCAGGAGACGAGACACCAGCGGGAAGGCACCCCAGAGCTGAGACGGGCACCGAGCACCATTCCTCAGCGCACGTGTGATCAGTGTGTGGGCAATAAATCACCCTCCGGGGCTCTTTCGATCAGTACCGAGTCTGTGTTCTCATTCACCCCGCGACAATATATATATTCCAAAATACATGCTATAAGGTAAGAAAAATACACAAGATATAATTTCAGAAAAGTTGTAATCAACAGTGTTGCCTTTTATGTTTTAAGGATGTATACATCTTTTTCATGTAAAACAAGACAAAAAATAGAGAATAAAAATTTTTGCACTGTAAGGACAGAAATTACCAATTGTGCCTGCAGAGAACAGTGTATGTGCCTAGGCAGCTCATGGACAAAATTATTTTGCTGTAACGTGTGGGAAAAAGCTGGGTTTAATAACTCAAGCAATGCGAACAAAACTGCATGCACTCTCGCTCACACACACACAGATTGCTGACCATAGCGGTTGTTGGATTTCCATTCAAGCACGCACCCATACACACAAACCTTTCATAACCATTCATAAATACACAGGCACACACAAATAAAAAGCAGGGTGGATCTTGTGAATGGATGAGCACCCACCAGATCCGGCACATGCATCGGCAGCAGCTGCAGGGGCCACACCCTCGCTCGGACCATCGCCTGGGGAGGGCGCAAACGCGTCTGGCCAGAACCAGACCAACAAAACCCAACAGAGAAAAAGAAAGGGGATGAAGAGGTGATAGAGAGAGAACGATTACAAGTGAACAGAAACACTCTATACGACCCAAATGGTGGTAAAATATACCAGTGTGGGCTGTATACAGTTGAATTCAGTGTGTCCACACACACACACACTGAGGGAAATGAGTCAGGCTGCGTGAAACATCCTGTCAATGCCGTCAGGACCAACAAGTGAGTAAAAGAAAGTGTTTGGCTTTGACAGCATGGTTTCTGTTAGCTAAAGCCGAGGCAGTGATGAACATTGTGGCATATAATATTACAAACCCCATGGAGACCTGCACATCCAGGTATGAATTAATTCATTTATTAGCTGAGAAAACAAAAAACAGCTTGGGGTTGTTTAACTGCTGGTTGATTTAATTAGAGGAATATTAAATCAACAGACTGCACAGCTTTGTACGAAATGAGCCAACATCCTATATAACACAGAATTATTCTGCATTTGAAAGAAATGCATTAATTCTGCATAATACTTATGCATGTAATTTAGTGTCTTATTCAAGCAGTTTCACATTCAAGTGTCAAGGTTAAAAATTATAGATTTGAATGGAAAACAAATTGTGGATGATTTATTCAGTGACCTGTGTCTGTAATGTTGTGTGAAATGATTAGACATTACCAGCAGAGTTTATTATAGTTAACTAAAACTAAAAAGAAATATATGTTCAAATAAAATATATTTAAAAAAATAAAATTTTATTTTCATGTATATTTTATTTTAAGTAACATATACAGTATGTTTCTTAAATTAAAATATATTAAAAATGTTGAACTTATTTTATTTTCAGCATTTCTCATGTTCATGTAGTTTAACTTCATGTACTAAAATAACAAACAAAAATTTGTAAAAACTATATAGACATTTTTAAAAAATTATAATAAAAACTTGGAAATGGAATGGAAAATGTAAAGAATTTAAAAAAAACATTTAATACATTATAATAGTATCTCATTTTAAATTGCATTTAAAAAATATATTTACAATTTTAATTCCATGCTCAATGTGTAATTAATTGGTTTTCTCCAAACAAAACATAAATGTTATATTTATATATTTATCCTGGCAGAGTGAAACTTGAACTGGCCTGGGTTTAAACATTTACAAGGCATCAAATTTGAGACACTTGTCTGCCATTGACCTTGTATAATCAAAGCTGAAATGTCTGCTGTAGGCGACATAATTACTGAAAAACATCCATGCTAGCAAGCTAATCTCAAGTGAGCTAATCCTTAGCTTTATCAGTAGTTTGCTTCATAAAAAATTAATCAACTCAGCTGTAAGGAAGGATTAATAATATGTCTGTTCTTTTCTCTTTTGGGTTAAACCTTTCTGCTTATACTGTTGTCAAAAGCTTCTGGTAAATGAATAAATATATAATGGTCTACTGAACTGATTAGCTTTTACCTACATGATAGTGACTTCAGGCCACTCAGGGCCGGAGTGGGACTCATTTTCAGCCCTGGAGTTTCATGCCTTAGACCGGCCCACTTTGCTTTTTTGTTTTTTTTACTGGCCTTTTCAGTGCCGCCTTTGCGCTTTCTATTATGCATTTTTTATCTATTATTTTTTGCTAGCATATCTCTAACAATACTTTTTTTTTTAGCAAGATTCCGCTGTCAGGGGAGTCAAAAGATAATTACGTCATCATTGCCAATTAACATAAGAAATTGAAAATAAGGGACAATTGTGATTCTTTATTTTATTCTTTAAGAAAATAGTGTTTATTCTTGTAGAAAATAAGTGTTTATTCTTGTAGAAAATAAGGGATGTTCCAAATATTTGTACTGTACCATAATGTAGGCCTAAGTCTGCCTGCAGTTAAAAAGTTCTCAGAAATAATCACAATTGTTTTGCTTACCATATTTATGTACAATTATTCTAAAAAGAATTTTAAATGTCATACAAAAAATGTCATCGGCCTGAGTAAATTGTACCATTATAGAATTGTGACTTCACACGTGTAATTGAGGAGGTGAAAATACTGTGAAATTACAAATGGCATGAAATTTGAAAATCTAACAACTGAAGGTCTACAGACGTTTCGTCAGTCAATCAAGCATTTTTTTTAAACAATAGCACTTAAAAGTTTTGATCTGAAATATTATTGCAACTATAGCCTTTGAATGAAAATGCATATTTTTCAATTAAAGAAAACTTAGAATGTGGGCTGCTTCTGGTGCTTGGATTTTTACTTCAATAATGAGGAAGTTTAAGAATAGCCTATGCAAGAAGAATTTTTTATGCAAGAAGAATTTTTTTTTTAATGCATTTTTTTCCCTTTCTATTTAACAGCATTAACTTACAATGAAAGACGTCTTCCCTCAGGTAGAATAAATGTTTTCCTGCCGTGCTGGATGTTGGGCTCATGATCAATAAGTTGTTTGCATTCGCCCAAACTGGTTTTGTAAAATAAAAAAGCGGACGGTGAAGGGTGCAGTTAGCGCGAGTCCCGCTGGCTGTAAAGCGGGAGCAGCCGGCAGAGAATTCCGCTTGGTTTTAAAGCCTTCCTCAAAAGCCTATGTTCACAAATAAAACAACGATTTGCACAAAAATAATGATTATTAATCACAGTCTATTTTAGTTATCAACTGAGAATTTGTTACTGATATGATGTGGTGAAAATAATAATATGGCCTGCGAGAAAAATAAAAAGAGTGGGGCTGCTATGAATGCAGGCAACCTAGAAACAGCATAGTTTAACCCAGTGGCATGACAACACCGGCCCTCGCGGCCAAAAAAAAAAAAACCGGCCCACCAGGAATCCTGCCGGTGCTCCCGATTAGCCAATCCGGGCCTGAGGCCACTTATTGGAGAAGCCATGAAAGAAAGGGTAATTTAAGCTTGCCAATATGGCAAATTGTGTTTACTTGTATATCAGATTGACAAGTTACTGTACCTGATGTGACAGCTAAGTGACTTCAAATAGTACCATTATAAATACATGTACACAAACCGACCAAACTGACCGCTAAACATCCCATTAACTCCCATTCTTCCCTGATAGTTAGGCCTGGAGATGACCTGACTGACCTCCAAACAGGTCCATGTCTGAGATGGTGGCAGGCACTGGCAGTGAGGCAGCGGCCGGGGTAGCGATGGCGTCAGCTGCAGGTTCGGTAGCAGAGGCTGCAGCCTCAGAGAGGGGTGCTTCAGAGCTAGCGGCAGCAGCGGCAGGAGCAGCCAGAGAGTCTGGAACCCCACCACAGCCAAGCCACAACCAAACCACAGCATTCACAAAGACAGAGGAGGAGGAGAGAGAGACAAGGAAGGGTAGAGGTGTAGACAGGATGAAAGAAAGCTCAGAGTTTTTTTGTAGAGAGATTTTAGCAAAATGACTTCATAAAGCTACAGCTGGATCAGAAGTGTGAAGATTCGGACAGTGAACGGACAGTTTGTTCAGAAAGTTCCTTGTAGACAAGACGCAAAAGTGTCATGCCCATTGAAATTTTGAAATGATTTTCAAAAAAGAAGAAGTTTTATGATAAAATAAAAAAAATAAAAAATATATTGCAGGTTAAAAATGTTTTGGGCAGAACCTGGATGTATTTGCAACCTGATAATCATTTTTACTCACCCTCACCAAGCAGATCTGAACCATTGCCAAAAAAGAGGATTGAGAAAGAAAAGAAGAAGAGCATGTTAGATTAAAACAGATGTTTGACCTGTTCCTGGATCAGCTGATTTCTACAGTACTTGGAGAATTTTTCTTTCTAAAGAAGCTGCAGCTTACAACTGGGACTTGACAAGCTTGGGCAGAGATGAGGAACATTTCCCATTAGTCTGTCATTATAACTCATTAGAGTGCCCACTCAATATATATTCCCCTAATTGGCCTAATTTGGGTAGAAAATGTTATCTGCATTTTAGCTCAATGGATTAACTAGTATATAATGGTGATATGAATCATAAACGCACGGATAACAACCTAAACCTCCAGCTTTTTACTCTCTATAACAATAAATGCTGGGATTTTTTACACGCTTTTAACCTGAAATTAGAGATGTTCATTTCGGTTATTTTTCCTCACCGACAACCGATGCTCGTTAACCGATTGTTAACCGTTAACCGACAAGATTATTTTAAATTAGAATTTAATTAAATTAAAAAGGATAAGTATCTGTGACCAGTTAAAAAATACCAACATTTGTTTTCCGGGGATTAATTTTACATGCGCAAAAAGCAGCAAACAACAGAACATGAGGATTCACATATGGTCTTCATATCACATCACGCACCTGCAACGCTTCTGCGAGCGGAGAAAAACATAACAAAAATTAAAGAAAATCTCTGCAACAAGTAGCCTAGTATGCAGAGTTTCAGTTCATTTTTGTGCGGCGCGAAAGGAAACAGACGACAGAAAGCGGCATCCTATTTTCTTTAGGCTTATTTTACAAAAGCACAAAGATTTTTTTTATTGTGATTGTACACAAATAAAGGCAAATCTTTTACAATTTCCGATTATCTTTAGGACTAAAAGGAGTAGTTGCTTCCACTGTTAGATGGAAGAAATTCAAGTGATTGCGCCAGCCGCGCTTGTGCACACACAGTTAAGCATTGCTACCTTGACAATGCAGCCTGTTCATTATCATAATAAAATACAGTCAGTCAAACATATGGAAAAAAAAACTATGTAGTAAAATCTGTGCCGTTAAGTGTCATAACCGCACCGCCGTGATGTTATGCAAAACATTTTGTTTTACGTGGATATTGGAATGCGAGTGAAGTAGGCTACATAATAAATAATAATAATTTGCCATTCAAATACATCGCGAATATGGAGACATTTGATTTTGTGAGGAATGAGAGATCCAACGTTGGTTTCAGTTTCGTTTTAGCCAAAATGAATTAGTTTTGGCTTGTCGTTTATATTGCTATAGCTTCTTAGATTTTTAATTCTTGTTCTTTGCTAAATACTGTTAATTGAAAGGATTTGTTGTGGAGTGAGGGGAACTAAAATAGCCTAGCTATGTTTACAGTGTTTATTATAATGCTTGTAATTAGGCGGCATTAAGCCCATTTCTGAATGAAACAATAAAATGCGACTTATGTTTTTTCCCCCTAAAAAACAATTTTTTTAACCATGCAGCAAACCTTTTTCAATATTTTGATAAATTACTGAAAAAATAAATAATAAAATGACTTTTTAAACCGTTTAAACTGATTGTATTAATCAGTCAAAATTCTTACGGTCGGTTAACCGGTTAAAATGAACATCCCTAACCTGAAATGTGATCACTTGAGCTGACCTAGCAAAACAATATTAAAGAATGTAATAAAACAACCCAAAAAACACTCTACAACACAAACTAAATGACACCAGCTCACCTCCCCATGATGCTGTGGGAGCCGCTGAAGCCCCTGAAGTTGGAGCCAACAGATCAAAATCCACTAGATCATTAAAGCCGCTGCTGTAGAGAGAAAAAGACAACAGAGTGATGCTTCTACAGCAAGGACATTTCAAGGATGCTTTCTCTCACACCCCCCGTAAGGTTGGCCAGGGTGGGGGCACTGGTCTGCTCATTTCTAACAATTGGAAATACTCAACCCACTCTCCCCTATGCAATTATAACTCATTTGAATCTCATGCGATTTCTGTAACAGCTCCAATAAAACTCCAGGTTGTGGTAATTTACCGCCCTCCTGGGCAAATTCTAACCAACTTCCTAGAGGAGCTGGATGGGCTGCTGTCCTCATTCCTGGAGGACGGCAGTCCACTTTTAGTCTTTGGCGACTTCAACATTCATCTGGACAAGCCTTATGCTACAGACTTCCATTCGCTCCTTGCTTCATTTGATCTCAAACGACTTACCACTACAAGCACGCACAAATCAGGCAACCAACTTGACTTAAATTTTCTCACTCTATTGTATTGCAGACAACATTTTGGTAAAACCCCTTCATATCTCTGACCATTTCTTCATTACTTTTGAAATACATTTTGCTACCTGTGTGCCACCTACCCCTATACGTAGATCAACAGCGCTCCAGACACACGTAATCTCTTCAAAACATTAAATTCTCTCCTCTGTCCCCCTCCACCATTTCTATAATAGCTAATGATTTCGCCACATTTTTCAGAGACAAAACTAGAACAATCAGTAGTCAATTCTCAGCCCCACACACAGGACTTCAAACCAACCACATCCTCTGCTAAAACTCCCATCTTCTCCTTCAGTCCCCTCACTGAGGCAGAATTTTCAAAACCTCTCCTCTCCAGCCATCCTACAACATGCCCTCTAGACCCAATCCCCTCACACCTTCTCCAAGCAATCTCTCCTACACTTTTACCAGCACTCACACACATCATCAACACATCTCTCCTCACAGGCACCTTCCCCACTGTATTCAAGCAGGCTCGGGTAACCCCACTGCACAGGCTCAGCACCCGCCTACTTCCACTCACTACTACGAATCTACATCCCCTCCAGAAGTCTGAGATCCGCTAGTGAGCGACCCCTTGTGGTACCATCACAGAGAGGCTAAAAATCACTTTCCAGAACATTCTCGTTCACCATTCCTGGTTGTGTGGAATGGTCTTTCCACCCCTATCCGGAATGCAGGAACCCTGACAATTTTCAAGCGATGCATGCATCCTATTTTTCTCATCTAAAATGGAACCACCACTCTTGAATGTCACTCAGTTAAATACTCCATTAGAGAGAAATTTGCTGAAATTCCCAAAACTGTAAGACGTCTTTAAATAGTTTCTATGCAAATTGTTTTTTTTCGACACATTACATCTTATAGGTCTTAATGATTGTGGAAACTCTATTCTTGGCGATTCTTCAGCATTACTGATATGCAAATGTGACAGCAGCTTGAGTTCTCGTCTCAGACAGCAAGCATCGCTGCTACTCTGATCATGATTCTTCAGTCGCATCCAAGTTCACTCTAAAATGAGATTTTGTGTGCAATTTATTTGATGAGTGCTAATGAGGATTGACTTTTGCTCTCTCCTGAGCTGCATGAATCTCCAAAGTGGAAAGCTCCACACGCTACTCACACTCTCAGCCTGTGTGATCAATCTGCACCGCTGAAATAAGAAGACAGGTACAGAATCTGTCAATCAGCCTGAAGGGACCGGACAGAAGGGATCCATGGAACACGTCCCATCTGACAAATGCCCCATCATGAGAGATAAATGACCTTGTATATGTAGCACATGGATGTCTGTGACTGGCCCAATGGCCAGGGAAAGGTAACAATCTCTCAATTTTGCTAAAACAGCTGGGATTAGAGGGCTACGACACATGCAAAACATATTAAAACAACACCACAACACAGACATGCACTGTTAGTACTGACGTGGAGAGTGTTGGCATCATGAAAAAGGTGGAAAATCCTGTTTTAAAAAACCTACCTGTGTAAGTTCAGGAATGTCGTTTTTGTCAATTCCCACTTGCTGTTGAAAGACAAGGTAAGAATATATGGTATATCCTTTGAACCACAAATGCAATTTTCAGTGAACATTTTATAATTAAAGCAAAGATATAAAATACATCTCTTACCTCAGCAATTTTGAGGAACTCTGAGACTCTGGTCATTCGTGTCAAAAATCTTTTATAGATTTCCAGTGCGTCTTTGCATTGTCCTTTCTTCATCTGGAAAAATTTCTCTAAAAATGAACAAGGAAATCATAGCAAATCTATAGTTGTGCCAAATCTTGCAGATGTCAAACCACCATCTTTGAAATCTCAAAACTTCTCGAGACTTGCCTAAGAGATTAATGATGCCATCATTGTAGCAGGCGTACAACTTGATCAGATCCTTAAAAAGCAACAGGAAGGCAGCGTTGATCACCCCATTGACAAGATCTTTTGGATAAACCTGAAACAACAAAGCAAGAGAATGAGAGGCAAGTCAAAGAAACTAATGTTTCTATGAGCTGTAAATATATTTATTCACCAGCTGTCAAAATTAACTAGCTACCTTACAGCACAAAAGCTTTACTGAACAAAGTTCAGATTCTGTTGTTTTTCAAATTCTGAAAACATCATTTAAATGTCAGTATGTGACAGATTTGTATCTTGCAAGAGTGTATCCTAACTAGTCATGATGCTAGTCAAGTTTGAACCCTGTATAAAAGCATCAGGTGTTAATACAGCCTGTGATAGTGACAGGAAGCAGACTCACATCAAACTCCAGCAGCGCATCGATCTGACTCTGCAGCGTGGGCATGCCTTTCAAGAGCTTGTCTGTAGACATTGTTCTCATCACACCATCGGCACTGAGTAAGACACACATTCACATGGCATTCATTTCAAATAATATATGCAAGTGAACATAATCCAAAGAAGAATAACAATTCTTGGGTTTTTATCTAACATAAATGTTACAAGCATGTGCTCAGCATATTATCGCATATAGAAAGATGAAATAAAAATGCTTCTGGGAATTTTACATCTCATGATAAATACTTTTAAACCTTAATTTGTTACACTGTAGGACCATTTAAAATAATCTAGTGAAAATTGTGAAAAATGTAAAGGAAACCGTGATGGAAGCATGTACACTGAGTAAGACACACATTCACATGGCATTCATTTCAAATAATATATGCAAGTGAACATAATCCAAAGAAGAATAACAATTCTTGGGTTTTTATCTAACATAAATGTTACAAGCATGTGCTCAGCATATTATCGCATATAGAAAGATGAAATAAAATGCTTCTGGGAATTTTACATCTCATGATAAATACTTTTAAACCTTAATTTGTTACACTGTAGGACCATTTAAAATAATCTAGTGAAAATTGTGAAAAATGTAAAGGAAACAGTGATGGAAGCATGTCGAATGTCGCATCTGTTTGCTTTTCAATTTGAAATCTTAATTAATAAAGTTCTTCAACATGTTTGATATTAACTACCTATATACTGTATAATAACTTAGCAGAAATAAATTATTCTGCCAAATATGTTGGAGCCATTTTGGAGAGTATCACATGCGTAAACAAAGTATGCAACTTATGTATGTGGATATGTTGTTTACGTTGTTCACGCTGTTCACACTGTTTACGCTTTGATCTGAACGTAAACAACATATCTGCATACATTTGTTGTTTATTCTCTCCAAAATGGCACCAGGGTGACGCGGAGGAGACAATTCTGTCTATGGGAGGGTCAGAGAGCTCTTGGAATTCATCAAAAATATCTTAATTTGTATTCCGAAGATGAACGAAGGTCTTACAGGTTTGGAACGACATGAGGGTGAGTAGTTAATGACAGAATTTTCATTTTTGGGTGAACAATCCCTTTAAGGCCCATTAACACCAAGAATGATAACTGTAAAGATATCGAGAACTAATGAGAACTATAACGACAACTATTTTAGCGTCCATACCAATGCATGACCACGTTCTGTTTATTATAAGCGCATGCTGCAGTTCTGCCACTTAAATGCTTAAGCTCTTTAAAGCAGGATGGATTCTGATTGCCTGTTAATATTTTTTTCCTTACCACTACATTCTGAAAGTAATTCTAACGACATCTTTCCATCTTATCATCACAGTTGCGGTGTGGACTCTGACTAAGTTCATGGCTAACAGAACAGTAGAGTGACAGAGTTGTTAGCCATGAACTGTCATGTTCAGGTTGTCTAAATCAGCCAATTTATGTGTTGTAGCTCCTTCATTATGCATGCAATGAGACCTTGGTTGCAAACCAAGTAATGGGGAGTAATGCCCCATTTTACTTAAAGGGATAGTTCACCCAAAAATGAAAATTACCCATGATTTACTCACCCTCAAGCCATCCTAGGTGTGTATGACATTCTTCTTTCAGACGAATACAATCCGAGTTGTATTAAATAATGTCCAGGCTAATCCATGCTTTATAATGGGAGTGGATGGTAGCCCAAAATTTGAAGTCCAAAAAATTGCACCCATCCATTTATCAGACTGGTAATTTGCATTTTTGGGTGAACTATCCCTTTAACAAAGGTCTTGCACACAGTATTACCAAGGGAGCAGGAAACGTGGTGAATATAACTTATTTTCTACAGCAGCAACACAAGGCTATTTTCAGGGACTAGAGGTTGTCCTTGATTTCCCAGCATCCCACTCAAATCTGTTATTGCTCAGTAGTGTTCCAATGCACTAGGCACACTTGTTAACTCAGGGTACAGCCGTGTAGCAGAGGACTCATTTACCCTTTCTTCACTCGGCCAAAGTCAAAAGCCATCTGTCTGTAGGCAAACGCCTTCTCGTTCAGATACCTGCTGTACCGTCTGATAAACGTTGACATGTCGTAACCTGAAAGTATAAGCATTTATAAATACAACAGACTGATAATATTTTACTTCATAGACAAATTCAAATGGGCATGACAACAAAGTTGACAAAAAATAATTATCAGCAGCTAATTTAAGAACAGTGCAATTAATTATCTCTCGCATAACTTTTCATACGGATTTTGATGTCAAACAAGAAGATTTTGATCAGAAACTGCATTTAATGAAATAATACTTACCATGAGAGCCAGTTTTGTCCAAAAAATTACTAAGATTGAATAGGGTGTTCCTGGAGGCCAGGTACTGGATGAACCTCTGAAGAAAAAAAAAAGGTCATCTTTTTCATGTGCATTAATTATTATAATTTGGAATATGGAATAATTCAGATGCAAGGCTGTTTTTCACAACACAAAAGACTAATTTCAGTACTGTCTTTAATAAATAAATATAAAATAAATAAATAAATGAAAAATTTCCACCAGCAACTCATAGAGATAGAGAGATAAAAAGAAAAAAGGCATAAGAAATGCAGAACTGCCTATGAAAACTGCACTTCAGTGAAGAAAAAAAATTATTTCTACAAAACCGATATCACCATCTAATGAGTAATCACTCATAATTTAGCAGAATAGCAGAAGCTTTATCAAGAAAAAACAGAATACTCACTGCATATAAACAGTGAATATATGGGATTAGATCTCTGCCACATTTCTTGTATTTAATAATTTATAATTGATATATAATTATTCATGAAGGCTGGAAGTGAAAAATGTCTTATATTCAGGTGTGCATAATTAAACAGATTTTCTTTTACAGATAAAATTAGCTAAAAAAAAAAAAAAAAAGTTTAACTCAGACTGAAAGTCGAAAAATTATTAAATGCCCATGAGAAATATTCAAAACTAATACAATACAAAAAATTGCAAAGTTAATGCATAACCATTAGACAGCAAAATGCTCAGTGGGTCAGAAGGGTCAGTCAAAAACATGTGGAGAAGAAAATATGCATGTTAACTGCAAAAGAATTAGGAATTAAGGAGAAGAATTAGGTGTGAAATCACCAGGAACCATTTAGTCTCCAGCGTCACCATTTTCCCAAACTGCAACCTACCTGGAGTCTCCAGAAGTACAAGGTGTCAGGATCTCAGAAAATTAGGTTAAGTATAGAATCCTAAAAACTGACCCCTACTTAATTAGAATCACATACTGAAGTGTAGTAAAATACTTGAAGACTGATTTTTTAAAATATAGGCTTTATAGACAGATAAGTTGAGAGTAACTCTTTAAGGACTCTTTAATCTGGCAGTAAGTTTTGGGAGTTCATTTTTAGTCCATCTCGAGATTTTATCTGTAGAAGATAACCTGCTTAATAATTATGCACACCTGAATATAAGGAGTTTTTCACTTCCAGCCTTCATTAACAATTATATATTGGTTATAAGTGATTAAATACAAGATTAATAGTAGTTATTAAGATTGATGTTGTTTGGAATTGGTCAAATGTGCTTGGAAAAAAATATAATCAGAATATCAACTTGCATAATAATTGTGCATGCACTGTATTTTCCCTCTTCCGCTGTCATCAGTAATGCAAGGAATGTTGTGATTGGTTTTCAAGGCAGCCAATCAGAATTTAGCAGCCTCGTCTCTGATTGGCTGGAATTGCAAACAAATGTATGCAGCTTAACACATTAAATAAAAAAAAAACTGTAAAACAAGACAAGGAAAAAAACTAAAAGGAAATGTACAGAAAATATTCACTAAAATTAATTGGACATAACATGCTGTAAGATGTACAACATAAAGTACTTAACTGAAGTATAAATGTATTTGTCTTGTTTAACAGTAAAATCTGTTAAAACATGATAAAATGATTTGAGAAGCAAAATTGTATAAGATGAAACATTTTTCAGTGAATATATGTTGATTTCTTTTCTTAGCCCATTGTCAATTTTAGTCTTGTGTTTTATATAAATGCTGTTAGATTTATGCTCAAAACAAGAAAAAAAAATTGGCAAAGAGATAAAGCTTAATTTAGATATATCTACATATATCTATAGAAAGCCTTATTACATTTACATTTACATTTAGTCATTTAGCAGACGCTTTTATCCAAAGCGACTTACAAATGAGGACAATAAAAGCAGTCTAAACTAACAAAAGAGCAACAATATATACAGTAAGTGCAAATGACAAGTCTCGGTTAGCCTAACGCAGTACACGTAGCAAGGTATATATATATATATATATATACACACACACACACACAAACAAAGAAAACAAGTAGATAGAATAGAAAGAATAGAAAGCTAGTGTTTGTTTTTTGTTGTTTTTTTTTGTTTTGTTTTTTAATAAAGAGCAAAAAAATGAAAACGATAAATATAGATAAAGTAGAATTATAGTAGAATAGAAAGTGTTAGAGTTAGAGGGTCAAATAAAGGTGGAACAGATGTGTTTTTAGTCGTTTCATGAAGATGGGTAAGGACTCAGCTGCTCGGATTGATTTGGGCAGGTCATTCCACCAGGAGGGAACAGTTAGTGAAAAAGTCTGTGAAAGTGATTTTGTGCCTTTTTTTAGATGGCACAATAATACGCCATTCACTAGCAGAACGTAAGCGTCTAGAGGGCACATAACTCTGAAGTTATGTTATGTCTTTAGTTATTACGTAAAGCAATTTTTTTCACAAATTTGTTTCATGATTAGATGTTTTACTTGAGAATGAGACAGAAAAAATACTGATGAAAGAAACTGATTTATTGCATTTTTGGTTCATGAATTCTGGAAAAAAATATGAAGGTATATATTATTTTATTTACTTGTGAATGATCTTTTCAAAGTGTTTTTTGTAAACCTATCCCAGCATTACATCATCTCTGTGTGCTGTACCTTTTCAGTTCTGCCTTTCAGAGTTTAACTGATGTGTCAGCTGATCAATACAGAGGCTTGTGGGGAGATGAAGCTATGTATAATGTACCTAACACTTTTAATCATCTAGGTCAGACTACTAACCATTTCAAATATCCATATATCAGGGTAAATACTTCCCTTGTGTATGTGACCTGTAGAGGCACATAGCCTGATGTTATAGAACACATTTCCTGCAGACTTTTTCCTCCAGAGTGAGAGTATACTTCCTTTCGGACTATAAAGCTACACCTCTGTCCTAATTAAACATTAGGGGGAGGATTATCAAGCAGCACTTCTGTCCCCTCAGACAAAGCAGTCTGGTAGGTCACATTCATAATTGAATAGCTCTTTTTAATTAAAATATTGGAAAGTGAGCTCATCTACTAAATATTATTGTTATGACATTTTCCCTCATTGCATGTTCAGCAGTATGGAAGACAATGCTTTTATGAGTAATCGACACTCTGTATTTTACATAATATCACATGCATATGGGGGACCATCACTTTTAGCCATGGATGATTTTATGGACCCCTCTTACGCGAAACGAAACATCACAAGATGAACAAATCAGTCTCTTTCTGTTTGAATGCTAACCTATTGATTCATTTGTAAGTAAATTTATCACTAGATCAGCATTGGTGATCTAAAATCCCAAAACAACTAAGTTAATTTAATCATTTTTAAAGAAATTAATATTTTTACTCAGCAAAGATGTATTAAATTGATCCAAAGTGACAGTAAAGACTCCTTCACTGTTAAAAAGATTTCCATTTCAAATAAATGTGACTGTTTTGTATGGAAGCCCGTTTCCGCCACTAAACAGAAAATAATACAAGGTAATTGCGACTTTTTATCTCACAATTCGGACCTTTTTTCTAAGAATTGTAATATAAACTCGCAATTCAGACTTTTTTTCTCAGAACTGAAAGTTCATATCTCGCAATTCTGACTTTATAACACGCAATTGCGAGTTATAAAGTCAAAATTGCGAGATATGAAATATAAATGTATTTTTTATTCAGTGGCGGAAAAGGACTTAACATAGTTTTGAACTCAAAGAATGCTGAAAAAAAAAAATTTATAATTACAATTTTCGAGCACCAAATCAGCATATCAGAATGATTTCTGAAGGATCATGTGACACCAATGGCTGGAGTAATGGCTGCTGAAAATTCAGATTTGCCATCATATAAAAAATCATTAAAAATTTTTTTTAATTATATATATATATTTTTTTTTATGATAATTTTTTATATGGCGGCAAATCATATTAAAAAATGGCTTTATATACATATAAAGCCATTCTTTAAAATTGTAATAATATATCACAATATTACTGTTTTTATTGAATTTTTTATCAAATAAATGCAGCCTTGATGAGCATAAGAGACTTCATCAAAAACATTTAAAAAATCTTACTGTCCCATAACCTTTTGTACTGTAGTATATATATATAAAATATGAGGTTGTTCAATGAATAATTCATATTCATGCGCAACACCTTTGCCATTCCATGATGTCACAACTTGCATTTCCTTGTGCACACCTCTATGAATGTCCCTGACACTATTTATAACAGTGACACATATTCACACGCAACCCGCATTCACGTAGCTTCATATTTATTAAATTATCCTTTGAAGCTGCGCCTCTCCATCTATGAATTCTATCAGTTCCTCTCAAGCTCTCAGTTCCTTCACCCTCCCTCATTTTATCATCCATTTTTCTCACTCTTTATCTCATTCTGCCTTCTACTGCCATCTGCCTTTTCACTCTCCAATGTCTCTGTCACTGCACAGCACCAGCCTTGATTGAAAGAGTAAACTGCACATTCAAAAAGAGAGAGAGGGAGAGAGGGCTGGAGCATCCGCCCGCCTGTCTGTCTCTGCTCCTATTGTGAGTCTGATGGGTGTGATAACGCTGATAAGAGGAAGCGAGAGGGCTTTGAGTGCAATAGGTGGTCAGCTGTAGGGATCAGCTCCTCAGAAAATGGTTAAAATTCAAGGCAAGACTTCATAAATGTTTGTTGCACTGTCAGGTTTAAACACTGTTGATGTAGGTTAAATATTATGCAGACCCTGCATTAACGTCTTTCAGTAATGCAGACATCTGTGACCCAAGCCAGAATCAATTAGAAAAAACACTTTTCCAAACCACTTTTTAAATTGCATTATTGAGCTATTTAATACATTCTGAGCTGAAATGGGAATTATGTGCCAGGTCGGTACAGTAATTTTCACAAACAAAAGTCTGACTGCTTTCAGCTTTTACGTGTTTGCCCCCTGTCCAATGAAACTAACATTCATTACCATCTAAAAGCTTTGAAAGAAATTTCAGTAATAATTAGTTAACATTAGTTAAATTAGTAATACTTTGAAAGCATTTATTCGATCTTAGTTAATATTGATTCCAACATTTACCAATACATTATTAAAATCAAAAGTGACATGGATTAACAATGAACAGCTGTATTTTTATTAACTAACATTAACAAAGATGAATAAATACTGTAACAAACGTATTGCTCATTGTTAGTTAATGCTAGTTGAGCATTAAATATAGTTAACAAATGGAACCTTATTTTAAAGTGTTACCGAAATTTCTTATGCTTACCAAGGCTGCATTTAGTTGATCAAAATAGCATAAAAACAGTAATATGCTGATTTGTTGTGCAAGTAATATTTTATATTATTATATCAATGAAAATAGTTGTGCTGATTAATATTTTTTGTGGAATTGTTGAAAAATTAACTTTTGCATGATAAATCTACTACTAGAGAGGTCGCATATTTTGGGTTTATGAGTCCACAGACAGGCTTCATCTCAGCATATGCACCACAAACATGATGTTTTGTCTTTATAATAATTACTTTCATTCAAAACATCAGGACATTGCCTTAAGTCTTGCTTACCTCACAGGTATCATGTTAATAATATTATAGAAATCAACTGCTTGCTTCTCACCTCATTGCCATGAACCATCAGGTGGTGAGTGGTGACCAAAGCCTTGAAGACCACAATCCAGCTGGCATTTCCTGCTCTCTCAAACAGGGTATCAGCCATCTGGGGAATATTGACATTGGACTCTTGGGTTGCCTGGATCAAGTCTGTGAGGGAATATGAAAAAGAAAGATCAGAGCTTATCTAGATCTTTAAAGCTTTAAAGGGGTCCTATTACGCTCTTTTACAGAGTCTTGATTTTGTTTTGGGGATGTACTAGAACAGGCTCTCATACTAGGTTGTTCGAAAAACACATTATTTTTCACATATTTTACATTATTACAACACCTCTCTCCCCAGTCTGGCATGAACGGCTTGAATATTTCCTGTTTTAAATGAAGGCCCGCCTTCTGAAATATGAAATGTGCTGTGATTGGTTAGCTGGGCCAGTGTGTGTTGTGATTGGCAGCACTCGGCGCCTGGTCGGGAAATGTCATGCTCCTTACCATAGCCACCTGCCAGCTTCAGTGTAAACATTGCGTCAATATCAAATCAATTTGAGCGCGATTTAAACCCGGATGATTGTAACCACTCTAAGTTTGTCTGCCTTGGGAAAGCTAGCGTGTCTCCGACATAGTGATAACACTCGTTGTCTTCTCTAGTGCAGCTCAACCAGGTCTCGTCCCATTCGTCTGTGTTTGTGATATCACAAATCCCGGAAAATATGCGTTGTAGTCCAAACGAGTCGTTTGTTGTAGTGTTTGAAAAGTGATTTCTGTTAAATAAAATATCTCCTTTTGAAGTGGACTTTGAGCTTTGTAACTTTGCAGACCTTTTTTCCGCTCAAACAGCAACATTACAGACTAACTCAAGTTTAAAAAGTGAAAAGGCATAATAGGACCGACCCCTTTAACACATTTAATAGTTCCTCCTGTATTATGGCATTCTGGGTAAAAGCAGTGGGCACAACACATACCAGAACATCAGGGTAAGAGTAAAGCCCAAGACACTGCATGATTTTAGCAACCCTTATAAGATCATTGCAGATCACACTGTGCAACATGGATCTAATAAACTTGGGTACGACATGCATGTAGACTGTACGATGATGATACCTATTGACTCGTACACTACTCGTTTCTATAGAAGAATAAAACGTCATCAGCATGCGCTAGTGGTAAAAAAAAAATAAAAATAAAAAATAAAAACAAAAAAAAAGAGCATGATGATTCACACTTTGGTAGTTGTAGTTTTTATGTGTGCTGAAAAAAAGTGGAAAAGCGGCGATAGAGGAAGGGATGAGAGCTTGAGGTAAGCAGTTTTATGTTTTAGCGCCATGTTGCATTGATTTCATGTCAAATTTTTATTGGCTGGTAAGTAAACATGGGTCGTAGCAGCAAACACACTGTGCGATGATAATGCTGAATTTCTGACACTGTCAGAAAATTATCATAGGCTGTCTTTGGTCACAAGACCATGACAACGGCCGTCTTTGAACCTCTCTCACTGTACGACACAGGACCACCGATTAGGAGCCACGATCACAAAAATCTCCACAATTGTTTCACAATGCCAATCTTTTGTCTGGGACAGCCAAAAATTGTGCATTGTGTCTCTGGCTTTACACACACAAACCAGTGCTAGTCAGTGTTGTCCTGCATTCAGTTTCAGTCTTACTCTGTTTCTGAAATGTGCTTAGCATGCTAGTATATGAAAAATACTATTAAAAGACATCTAGGGTCAGAAGACCAAATCATGAGAGTGTTCACAACTTTCATTATAATTCAAGTCATTATAACTGAAATTCTTAATGTAGTTATGGCATACAGGATACATAAAGAGCAGCTTAGGCTCAATAATGCAGATATGAAAGGAACAGAACAGGTTATTAATATTACAGTGCTGTCATAACATTGAATAATGCAGTGTGATGGGAACTCTGTGGGTAGAATAAATAGATAAACAGACAAAGACAAACAGCTAGATAGAGAGACAGACAGCTGGACAGACTGACAAATGGACAGATGGATGGATAGACCGATAGTCAGATCGTTATATCAACACAGATATAGTAGAAGGTTAGATAGTTAGACAGACAGACCAATAGATAGTTAGACTGTCAGGCAGAAAGATAATTGGTTAGATATTTAACAAACAGATAGCGTATTCAGAGATAATGTTAGACATGCAAGACATAGATAGTTAGACATAGAATAGAATGTATTATAGATGTATATAGATAGACATAGAATGTTAGACATAGATAGTTAGATACTAATAGTTAGAAAGACAGGCAGTCGGGTAGACAGACGGATACATTTTCAAACAGAAAGACAGACTTTCAGACAGATAGTTACAAAGTTAGACAGTTAGGCCTATACGGAGTTAGACAGACAGATGCAGTAGACAGATCGACCAGCAAACAGATAGAAAGACCAAGAAGGAGATTGACAAGACAGACAGAAGGAGAATGTAGAAAAGATAGACAGATGGATAGACAGGCATATAGTTAGATACATTGTTTAAAGTCCCCATGAAATCAAAAAAAAATTTTTTGGGTGTTAGTATCAATATGTTAGTCTTAAGGTTATCTATAAGGCAGTGTGCTCCAAAAGCGTGACAAAAATCACATTTAGAAGATATAAGCATTCAAAGTTTGCAGTTCGTCACTTCCGCCAAAACAGCTCAACGTTTTTTTTGACATCACATCGTACTTCAGCTTCTCATCAAACTTTCTCTCCAATCAAATGCTCTCTAGAATACGAAGCGCCCGCCCCCTACACTTTAAAATAGACGCTGAAGCCACGGCTGAAATCGGTCACTTGTCCACAGAATTAGTATTTTCTGTACAGTGAATGGAACGTAGTGCACTATATAGGGGACAGGGAACGATTCAAACAGTGTAAATATGCTTTCCACTGAAGAAAAAAAGAAGTCTGGTTTTGCATTGTGTCACGCTAACCACCACACCGCACACATACTCTGCTCCGGTCCAGAGACACGATAGCACGTTGCGGATCACATGCGCGAGTCGGCGCAGCCCACAAACTGTATCGGAGCTATTTGAATTCTACACAATGCTATATTTTATAGCAATATGGATGAGATTGTGGCTGGCATACCCTGTCAAATGTGGCTTTACGGAGCTCAACGGTTCTGAAAGGCTCTAGCCCAAGCTGTGATATAAACTAACGCTATTGGCCGTTTTAAAAAGGGGTGGGGCTGCTTGATATGTCCCGCCCTGTCTTCCGGTTTCAGTTAAAATGACGTCAACACAGAGTAATGCTGCGTGTTTCTAAGCATTTCAGGGGACCTTTAACATGTAGTTAGACACAGATAAGCAAATATTTCATTTCTCAGTCCTTCTCTTTTTCTTTCTCTCACACCTTCACTACAGGAGGATGTGAACACACACACACACACACACACACACACATACACAAACACAGACACAGGCTTCTATCAGTATCTGTCTCTAAGGAGATCATGACAAAGCAGCCTGCTCTCCTCCTACAGACCACACATCCGCCATTCATCCTTCATCATGAACTACACATCACAACACATCCTGAAACCACAGCAGTATCTGGATTCAAACATTATTTTTACATACTGACAAGCACTGTAACAATAATTAAGAGACTATGATGTATATTTCACAACTGAACAACTTGCAGGCTCTCCTCTTGTCACATAGGAAATAATATATGATTTAAAGGCTTAGTGTAGAAAAACTTCAGGGGGCTGTGAGACACAGTCACCTTGACTGAAAGAGGAAGGGTACGCACACATTCATGTTCAAGAACAGATTACATAATCACAGAGACTCTCATTCTCTAAAAGGCTTAAAATTTAACATCATCCTGGTTTGGCCCCTTAAAACACATCAACATTGCCTGAAGTGACAAAATGGGAGGTCAGAACCACCTTCATATGTCACCTGGACAAAAAAAAAAACCTAGTTCTCTATCGAAAGGTAACTCCCATTGCGTCGACTTTGAGAGTTTGACAACTGCTTGGGGAAACTTCTGTTTACTCTATTACTGAAGCCTGATTGGTTAACGTTTGTGTAGCTGCACAAACCAATGGACCTTGAGCCCGCCAGAAGGGGCGGAGTCGACCACTATATAAGTCTGCCCGGAGCACCATCTCATCAGAATCTTCTCCTTCAGCGACGAGATCATTCAATTCAATTCAATTCAAGTTTATTTGTATAGAGCTTTTCACGATACAAATCGTTGCAAAGCAACTTTACAGCAAATTAATTTTCTACAATATTTAGTGGTAGCTTATCAGTGGTGACTGTCAGTTAATGTACATATGGCAGAAACGTACGGAAAAATCAATTAAAGACGTAATTAATTAAAGACGTAAAGACCATCTCTTTGCTGACTCTGCAATAAAGAAGCCGAAGAGGGAAGAAGCTCAAGAAGAGCCCCGGCAGCAAAGAAGCGAGAAGCCTTCCCCTGCGGCTCTCCGGCTGGTAAGAGCAATTCCTGAGCAATTTCTCTTCGACGTTGTTGCAAATGTCGCACCACGAGTGTGGCTAGTGCACGGAATCCCTGCAAGATGCATAAGGGCAGTGAGTGCATCACCTGTCTGGGCAGCGCCCATGCAGAGACTGTGTGCTCACTGAGACGGAATGCTCTCACAGAGAGCATGAGTCTCGCTCTTCTCTGCTCGCGAATCACCTTCTTAAATGAAGGCAGCCCCGCTCTCTCATTTCTCCTCTCTCAGCGAGCTCAAAGAAAGAAACGGTGCAGTCACGGAGCTGAGCAACCAGGTTTGAATGATCTCAAGAGGCAAGAGCCCGCATGCTCATTCTCCCCCGGCACTTTGATCCGCTGGTGTGTGTTGTACACGTGAGATTGCACCCCTCTTACATCGAGCGGTTCAATCCCTCTAGGTGGATCGGAGTAGAATGCTGTCACCAATGATTCAGATTGCTGACAGCGTCACATTTGTGTGTGCATCGCTGAGGCTGCGCTCACGGAGACAGGCTGCTTTCACAGACGAAAGCGCGAGATTGTCCCTGCATCACTCGCGGATCCCCTTCTTCAGGCTCGAGTGATTTTACGTCGGCACAGGTCCCACGTGTTTCACTCTCACTGCAGCACTTTGATCTGCCAGTGTGTTTTACACGTGAGGATCAGCGTCCCTTGCTTAC